AAGAGTACTAAAGAGGCATGAAGGTGTCAAGAATTCTAAGTGGCACATCTATACAGAGTTTAAGATGCTAGCATTGGACCAAAGGTCTGACTATGGAGAGAGTAAAGGGCAAAATATGACACTTCCTTAACTGGTAAAAGTTAGGGGGTAGAAGTATGCTCTTTCTCTTCCTTCAGTATCACTCCTGTTGTCCAGTGGTTCAATGTCATGGTCAGTTTATGCCCAAACTGCTTTCAGCTGTGGCTGAAAGTGATGGCTATCCCATTCTCCTTGTTCATACCCATTACACAGCACCACATTCCCAGATTGTTGATCTAGTTGAAAATTAATCTTTGCCTTGTGCCAGTGAGAGGCAAGTGGCAGAAACATGCAGCCTTAGGCAGGAGGAAAATGGGATAATCCATTCCAGGAACAGCGTGGTCTTAGCTAGACTTCTGCAGTAAGTCATGTTTCTGCACATAATGAACAAGTAAAGCCTTCCAGCTAGAGTTATTCCTGCTAAACTAAAGAGAACAAAATTAGATGTTAGTAGGAACAAAGTTTACACTAACTAACTACTACTCCCCAGAGGAACGATTAATAGAAACATATATTGGTGCTCTATATACAGTACAGCAGATGGCCAATGGTTAAGTTTTGCATATGGTAAGCACTTTTTTTTTTCTCTTTTCTGTTACTACTAAGACTGGGTTTGCTGTGAATGCAACACTGCCCAGCTCCTGAGTTTGCATTACCTTCACTAGCAGCTGATCACTAGTGAGTTATTGACAGCCCCGGGCCTTCTGAATTTGTCTTCTAAGCTCTGCTGTCGCTTCAGATCTGTACTCTTTCTGTCTGCAGCATATAAGGTCATAGATAGTTCTACCTGCCAGAGTAGCAGATGCTATTCAACATAACACAGCATAAGTACTAGTTATTGCCATATGTACCAAAATTCTTAACACATTACACAGCACATTTATACAAAACCAAATGAAACTAAAACATGTTAGGTAATTGTCACCTTGTCATCAGGCAGTTGCTGTAACAGCTACAAAAGTTAAGTCAAAGCTCCAGCCAAGACAAGCCCAGACTAAGTAAGCCTTTACAGCCCTAGTCCCACACACAAAGTTAGTACAAGAGCTATGGCTGGTAACAGGCACAGCAATACTGTCTTTACTGGATTATAGGGCTACATAATAGGTCGTAATCTAGTCAATACAGTCAATGGAGTGTGGAAAGCAATTCAGCTCACCAGAATCATTTAGTTAAAATTGTAACATCAGGCATATGTAAAAAGCTACCTTGATTATTATCTTTCTGTACTGCTGAGACTTTATAACTTCAGTGCTTTATAAACCACTGTTATTAGATATGAAATTGGGTGTGAAATTCTGCTCTAACTAGTTGATCATTTTGTGTGTCAAATCTAAAAGGCATCAGAGAATGAATGGACCTGTTTGTACACACAAAAGAAAAACTTGAGAGTTTTGTGAAAATTTTACTCAGTTTTTCTTCAAGTAAATATCAACTTCCTGCCTTAAAGCCTGTTATCAGTCTGCTTGTCTTTTCTGGAGACTTCTCTTCCATGAAATATTACAAATAAAACAAGTTTTAAAATGAAGTCTTCTGAAAACCTCCTTAAAAATTGCATTAATTAAAACATATGTAGCTTTTCTGAAAGATAGTTATCTATGACTTTCTGTCCTCATTAGAGCAATTAATCCCAAATTACTAGCGCCAACTAGAATACTTCTATCACAAGGAAAAAATGAACATAATGTGAAGATTTTCCTACTTATTAGTAAAGTCTGAAGTGAATGACCTAAGTGAGTTGCATAGTAGGGAGAGGGATTTTGCTTCTGTGATCTTCTGTTCTTTATTTTCTTTTTTATTGTGTTTTGCAGGGGGGATGAATTCAAGAAAAGAGGAATGTTTTTTACTTGTCTTTATATGCAGAGGAATGTAGCACGTAATCCTGATTCAGAACAAAGACTCATACCCAGCTGAAACGAGAGTTTGCATATCTTGCCCTGGTAGTCTTTGTGACATGAATTTCCTGAAGCACTGATTAGCTACATGCAATAATGAGGAAAAAATAAACACGGCAAAGAAAAGAACTACCGAGCCTTTTTCCACTTGCCCTAATTTTTTGTATGTGACTTGATCATTTACCTATTGTCATAATTATTTAATATTCTACTTTAAGATCTCAGTTTACATATTAATTCTTCATGCTGTAATCTTGGTCTGCATATCCGCTGGGGGAAAAAAATCAAGGCAGAAGCATTCATTCTTACGAATTTCAATCTCAGATCTAGGAATGGTCTGTCATTTCTTGCTTTCAACAGCAAGGTGTTGCTAAATGGGTCTGGAAAGGCATTACTTCATTCTGCATAGCTTCTCTGAAACAATGAAGTCTTTTGGGCTTTGATGAAAGGAAAATCTACTGCCCAAGTAACCGCAGGCTCTTTCTGTCACTTGTTTACTATTTTAGGCTCCAGATTAAATTCTTGTGGAATAGTTTTAGAAATGCAGTTTCCCAGCCCTCTGCACTTCCTGTGTGTCCCGCTCCTGCCGAAAGAGAGGGATCTTCATCTTCTTTTTTTGCTTAGAAGGACCTACCGAAAAGCCAGTTTTGGTGATCCCAAGACTCTTCATGATTGAGTTAATCTCAATAACCCAATAAGAAACTCTGAATTTTATTTTTGCTGGAGTTATTTTGTGCCATTAGAGTCAGTTCCTGGATGCAGAAGTAGCGAGCGATAAATGAAGTGTAAGTCCTTCTGCGAATGGGGGAAGGCAACAGACCCCTTTTGGTTTACTCCTTAGTCGTTTTATTCCATCTTGTAGAAACAGACTGAGGATGTTATTTCATTATCACCCTTAGTCAGTGTAATATTTCTGCCACCAAAATGCTGTGTGTTTGCTCTGCCTCCACATGATGTGTGCATTTTTATCTCTGCTGGTGCTTGTGGAGCTATGCAGTCAGCCAAAAACTAATCCTGCCAGGAGAGAGAGAAAAGAAAAGGGGGTGGGGGGGAAAGACTTTTAAAGACTTACTGTTCAGGTAAATGTGCAGCTCTATAGGTGGGGAGAGCTGGCACAAGGGAAGAGTGGGCAATACAGTGGATAATATGCCTTTCCCCTTTTGACAGCAGTGCAGTCTGTGAGCATACACATGAAAAAGCCATAAACAGCATTTTCAAAGAGTTAGACACTCTCACTGATGTCATCAGTTAAAGCCTCCTTGAGAACAGAATTATGGCAGTTTAATAATTTCTGTAAATCATACTTTTAAAGACTAGCTGCCTTAATTCCCATATTTGCAAATGAGACTGTCATTACAGGTGGAACCAAGCCATAGTTCACATTTTTAAATTACACACAGAGTCGATAAGAAAGAATGCTGCATAAAACCACTGTATTAAGTGTCTGAGAGACTGAAATGGGTGGATTTTTTTATTTTTTATTTTTTTTCCTCTGAAAACCAGAAGTGGAGGAAGGTGAACAACTTGGAGTGCTAATTTGTTCAGGTGAAATCCTGATGGGATTGGCAGAATGAAATTACTCTCAGAACCTTAAGAAATCTGTGATATGGAATTCATATTTTCTGGCCTGCTAAAAAAATGGCATAACATAGGAACATTGAAAATATGAATCCTTGAGAAGTACGTAGTCGCACACCTATTTAAGGAGGGAGGATTTACAATAATGTCTTTACTCACCAAAACCTGACGTAGACCACATCTTCAAAACTGACCCCTTTCAAATAGGTCAACTGAATGTTTGAATGCTGTGAAAAGTTTAAATGAACAGTGAAAATGGAGTTGCAAGATATAGTAGAGAGAAAGAAGACACATACAAAAAATGTATGGATTAGCAGGAGATGGTGTATATGAGTCTCTTGACAGATTCACGGAAGTTAGAAGAGCCTTGAGGCAAATTCATGGCCCTCCTTTAGGACAGACACTGCAGAGGAACAGATTTCTGGGGTACTCAGAGCTTAAAATTTCTTTGCAGACCTTTGCACAACTCCATCCAGGAATCTTAACTAGGAATTAAAACCAGAATTTCCAGATGATGGAGGCAGAAGCAGCTGCCATCATAATGTTTCCTACACAGGAAACATTATTGGCAGTTTTTCTCCTGGAGGGAGGCCTTTGAAAAGTTCCTCAGACCAGTTTAGTAAAGACAGGGTGCAATGCTGTTGTGGATTCCCCTGATAACGTCTGGCATTGTTACTATGCAATTCTGTTCCAGGAATGAACGCTGACAGCATGAGTTAGTCAACGCTTTGATTCTGAGTGAAAAGGTTATAAAGGCAATAAAGACCATAGGGAAAAAGTGCTGAATTTTCACACTTGAGTGAGCACCAATATGAAGGGTTGTGGTTTTGCTTGCATTTATAAGCCTGTTTTCATTTCAAAGGGATTTGATACATGTAACTGGCAGTGGAGTTTGATTCCAAATATAATTTTAAGAATTATGCTGCATCAGTAATCTGACAATGCACTGGAAAGGTTAAATTGAGTGCAGATCGTTTAACTTTGCTTTGATGATTAATTTCAAGTGATATAAGTTATGAACACTAGTTTCAATTATTTACTGAAAAAGCCAACAAATCTCATGGGAACTCTACAAAGTAGAATAAAACCAGTTGACTGTGATTTTGCTCACAAATGAACTAATCAAGCGACTGTGACCTTGAGACAGAGTCTCTCCTCCAGCTCTCCCCTCCCCTCTCCTATGTACGGAACTGACATGCTCATCTGTCCGCTTGAGAAGTCCTTGATACTGTTCATATTTAACAACATTATCAAAGGCCCTTTGCTTCCAGGCTCAGCTATTAAAATAGATGAGATGGGAAGTGCTGACATGGTAGTTTTGCAAATGTTATCTGAGAGGTTTGCATATATTATTAAATATCTTAATGAAGATGATGAAGAATCAGCCTATTAACAGCTCAGAATTAGGTATATTGCTGCATTAATTCTTGTTCCTCTTTGCTTTGATATTTCAGTGCTACGGCTATTGAAGGATGGTGCCGACCCTCATACGCTTGTTTCCTCAGGAGGCTCCTTGCTCCATCTGGTAAGAGTGATTGAAGATTACTGTTAGTGACTGTGGATAAATATGGTGGGATACTGAGTAGCAGATTAGGCATATTAACAAAAAGAAAGGCTTAGCAATATTTTTTTTTATCTACACTGCCCTCCACAATGGTTAAGATTGCATCCAGCTATGCGTGTGAAATAAATGGTCATTTTCAGATTACTTATGAAAGGATGGATCATGTCTTAGGAATGGTAACTAACAAAGTAGGATGAAATGTTTTATTTATAAATTATCTGAGCAGTAAGGAAGAACAAAAGAAATATTGCTTTATTCCAAAGATAGAATTACATGGTTCAGAGAATCAAAGGTCCTATATGAAAAACACCATCATGTAACATTTTTCCTTTTGTTTTTGTGCATATTTTCTTGCACCAGTTTCCTACATGTGTATATTTAACACATTATCTGTATTTATTTTATCATTATTTGCATAGCAATTTAGATTAAGTAACTGGAAGATAAAAGGAAAACAGTTTGTATGCAATGGCAAAACTCATAATAAGTTCCTAAGTCTTATGATCCTTTACTTTGGTCTCTAATGCTTCAATTGCACACATGCTTTCTATTAGATATGAAACTATTGTAAGATAATTGGATCCCATTTTGTTGCACAATGCTGCTAAAATAAATGTAACTTCACAAATACAAGGACATAACAGATCTAGTGAAAAGTCTACTGGCAGAGTGTTTTGTTTTAGAACAGTTGGATTAAGTTTCTCATAGTTTGTACACAAAATAGAGTGATTTCTTGATGAAAAAAGGATCCTGCAATATTACTGAACACTACACCTGCCACCATTTTCTTCCAAGATGTGGTGTTTTCCTTGTGTAATTAATCTATGTTTTCCATATTCCATGGCCATGCTACTTACCAAGGACTCTGGGAAATAGTGGCTTTAGGTAAGGGGAGGGTGCAGTAATGAGTTTGAAAGGAGAAAATTTAAGTTCTCTTTTTTCTCCTCCAACTATATGCCTGCAGCAAATGTGCTCAAACACTTAAAAATGCAGCCCATACGAGACGTCATCTTTGGGATTCCCAAAACTGAGCCATCCCAAGTCTTAGCCTGCGCTGAGAGACAATCTGTGTCTTCCATGTGCTTGATGTGACATCTCTCTCACTGGCATTTTAAAGTAGGAGAATGAAAGATACATCTTTAGGAATATTAGGTTGCTTTTCTAGTTTAGCTATGCACACTTGTTAACTGCGGATAAAATCTGCAGTTGAACTGTGTCTTTTTATGTTTCTTGATCTTCTGTATTACACCCCAATTCACTGTCACGTTCAGTCTCTCTCCACTGATGCCTGCTGCTTCACAGGCACACATATACTTCAAAGGGAGGGAAAGCTCCCAGCAGTGAGAAATTTGTCATAGAGAACTGTGTGTAATCTACTGCCCGAGTTTAGTCAGAGTTACTTGTAAGTACTCATAATTCATTTACAGGAAAATACCGGTCCTATTGGAGACAGGGAAAAACCTGAAATTCTGAAACTTGGATTTGACCCTGATTTGGGAACAGTACACACAGGAGAGGAGGATCATAATACAGGGAAACAGATAAGCCAACTTTACTTTCCTGCAAGAACCCAAAATAGCAGTTTGACATGCATCTTTATTATATATCTTTAATGCCCACTCAGATTCATTCTAAGTTCTAGTTTTACCACTATAGTTCTATATAAGCTGCTTTCTCCAAAGGGGAACCTGATCAATGTTTATTCTCTCCAGTTGTAGGATAAATGTTTTTATTCTGGAATGAATGGAAAATATATTTATCTTCACATTTTAAAAAAAATCTCATTCATTTTATAATTCCTTTTTCTTTTTCTCATTTCTGTTAACTTCTAAAAGGTAATATATTTCTAAAAAAAAATCAAATGTGACACTTCATACAGATTCTGTTGCCATCTCTGTAGACAGTATCCCAATGTGATTGAATGAATCTCAGGGAAGTCATGGGAGCTTCAAAGATATTCACTGAACTCCCATTAGACTCCATGAGAGGAGAAGTATCAAAAAAGAAAGTACTTGCCTGAGTTGCCGGTTCAGTGGGAAGCACGTTTCAGTTCACGCAGGCAATCACCCAGCCCACCCTAATAACAAAGTGTATGAGTGCCAATTTTCTCCTGGAACCTTGACTGAGATTGCCCAATTGCTTCACAAAATCCATTAAACAAGGAGCAGCAGCAATTAAATTGCTGATACAAATCTAAGCTGTTTTCAAACTGGTAACTAATCACAAAAGGCTCAATATTTATTATTAACACACAAAATGGCTCAGTGACATCTGTCATTTGTTTTGTATGGAAGTTCTCTAGAAAATTTTTTGCTTAACAATGCCTTGAAAATATGATTTTTATGAGATTATATTGATCTATATTATAAAATGTCTTATCTCTGATTTTTTAAGATTTAAACATGGAACAGCTCGATGTAAGTTATACTACTGACACAATGAATGATACTGATGCAACAAAACAAAACTGACTATTTCTAGAGCTGTCAGATGAGTTGCAAGCTAAAGGAAATACATCAGAACTTAATTTCTGTTCTATAATTTAATGATAAATATGTTTGGAAATAATTTAAAGCAGGACTGCTTTTTAGGCTCATAGTTTAATTTTCATCTTGTGAGTTATCTGTATTTATGATCGCAGTAGTACATGCAGCTCCTACATTCAGCTGAATATCACAGCTGTCTTGACTTCCCAGTGGAATCCAAGTAGGCAATTTTCCTTCTTCCCCTTTTCCTCCAGTGTCCTGGCTTGCATGACAGAATAATACAGATCAGCAAACTGGATGGCATAGTGTGGTTCCAGATGCAATACAGAAATAATAACATCATTATTTAACCCTCACTTGCAAACTATCTGCAGATTTCACTATATTTGTACTATCAGTGTATATGTGTGCTTTTTGGGACAGGGAAATATTACACAGCTTTAAATATTGGAAGAAGCATAGATGTTAGGGATTATATTAAAAGCCTCTATGTATCTCATACAGAAAATTAGTCTCCCTGTAGCCTCTCTCCAGTGGGGAAAGTGAGAGGATCCTTTTCTAAAGAGTTACTGAGGTTGTTATGTTAGGATCATAACTTGGGTACCCTGATTGTCTTTTAAAGTAATAATAAAGGATAATCCATATTTGAAGTATAATCCATAAGCACATTCGTAAAAAGACACAGAAGAGTAAGCTCAAAACAGTGTCTAAGCCAGTTTCTTCTCTGCCAAAATTAGTTATGTCCATCATGAAAGCAAAACAAAGTGTACAAGCACACACACACATGAGCAACCACCCTTCTGCCCTCAACTCACCCTTAGTTTGCAGAGTATTGATCTGTCAGAGACACTTGAATAGGAGTGAGTATAATTAGTGGATTGGAAATAGGAGTGGGTATGGAGAGGCATGTATTATGGCTATGAACTGCATAAAAAGCCGAAGTTCATGTACACGTGGGTATACATATACTTAGATGCTACTACTCATAATGTGACCATCATGCAGTGATGCCTGTGCACTGATTTGGAATGACAATATTGAACAGAAAGAAAGCCTAATCTTTACTGGAGATTCAGCAGATTTCATATAGTGCCTTCTCACAGGGAATAAGGGATTCTGTGAATCATGCACGTGGAACTCGTAGTCTTCACAAAACTAATTCTATAGATTCATCAGCTGTTGTCCCCTACAAACACAGCAGTTTAACTAACAGTGTGTCATCTATTCAATTTAAATGTTAAATGGCGCAAAAATTGTATTTAATAAATTCAGTCGTACACTGAGTAAAACACCATCCCTAATCTGCTCTTCTTTTTTCTAGTGTGCCCGCTATGATAATGCGTTTTCTGCAGAAATTCTAATTGACAGAGGAGCAAATGTCAATCATCAAGATGAGGATTTTTGGACATCAATGCATGTAGCCTGTGCATGTGATAATCCTGATATTGTCCTGATACTGCTACTAGTAAGTAAAGCAATCCAGTGCATTGTGTTCTTGAAAAGGAAACAGAATGTAACACCCTAAGGTCTGAAACTGCTGTATGAATGCAATATATTACTACTGATCGTATCAGTGAAAGCATATATCATGTTTTTTTGTTTCTTGATGTTGTTTTGGTGCTCAGGATTTCTAGAAGGCATACATATAGGGAAGCCTTTAACGAGAATACGGTATAAGCATCAGTGTCAGGTCTCTCCTATCCCTTCCCTGTGGTGAAGAGCTTATATCTCTGATAAGCACTCAGTCCCAAATGGGATATTTGGATAATTTCTTTTCTCTTCTCCTTGTCACATTCTGTTAAGAATTGAGTTCACGGACAATCTTATCAAAAACTCCTTCTTAAAAGCAAATATTCACTCAGTTACACTCAGTATTTGCAAAGAAGTGTTTATGGATGTGGTCAAAACAAAGCAAATTTAATATTTAAACAACCTTGATTTTTTGAAGCAGATTTTAACCAATATAGTAATAGATACAGCATTCAGCCTTTGTAGAGAACAGCTTTGTTCATATTGTGCTTCCATTCCTAGGATCACAGCCTCTAGTTTTACACCAGGATATTAATGCAGCTCTTTCTCCCAGTTCATTTTATGTTGCTCTTTAAAACAGTAGTGCAGAAAAAGTTCACAGTCTGACTTTTGGTTTTCTAATCCATTTGTATAATTTTAAATTTTGTCTGTTTTTAATAAGTCGTTGCAAGCAGATCAGTATTTTTTATCAGACTTAGAATGGTATTTCAAAGTTGCAGGTAATGTGAAGGGAAAAATATTTTTAAAGACTGGATACTTGATAATAACTTTCAGGAAACCACTTTCAGAGATTGTCTAGTCCAGTGCTCCTGCTCAGAGCAGAGCCATCTACAGCAGCTTGCCCAGGACCACGTCTCCAAGGATGCAAAGTCCAGAAACTTGCTGGGCAACGTGCACAGAAAAGGAAGGGTTTTATTAGGTTTAATTTAAACAGAATTTCCTGTGTTTCAGTTTGTGCCTATTGTCTTCTGTCTTTTCACTGAGTGCCACTGAGAAGAGTCTGGCTCCATTTGCTTTATTCCCCTCATCAGGTATTTATATACATTGGTAAGACCTACCTGAGCTGCCTTTTCTCAAGGCTGAAGAGTCTTAGCTCTCTCAGCCTCTCCTTGTACAGCCGATGGTGTAGTCCTTTAATCATCTTTGTAGCCCCTTTGCAGAATTCAGTCCAGTATGTCCATGTCTTTCTTTTACTGAGGAGCCTCACCAGTGGTAGACTCTCACCAGTGCCTAGGCCTGCTGGTAATGCAGTCCAAGAAATCTATGGCCCTCTTTGCTGCAAGGGCACACTGTTGACTCATGCACAACTTGTCCTCCAGGTCCTAGTCCCATAAGTATTTTGTGTGGGAAGCTGTCTAGCTAGGTGGTAGGAAATACTAAAGAGAAAATGTTAGCCTAAAAGAATGTAGGACAGAAGTCTCTCAAAATAATTATCTGTCTAAAATCATCTTGTAGTGAAATACCTATTTCTGCTTGAAGGTAATAGCTGGGAACACTGTTCTGGGTCTGTATACCTACACTAGGTCAGTGACCAGAAGTGAGGCTTTTAACCAGTGTAATTAGAGCCCTCTTGGGCTTTTGAGGACTTGAGTCCAAATGCCTGCTCTTCTAGAGAAAGGTTAGATCAGAGTCCGTTTTCTCCCAGAAGAGTGTTTCATTAGACTATTAGACAGATTTCATATTGTAGTTATTGACTTAGGAATGCTTTGTTATTTAATTGCTAATGCTAAACCATAATCAGCAGGTTAAGTAGCATCCACAGAGATTAATGTGATAGTTTACACCTTAGAGCTATTGTTTCAAGCTTTCTTTGTTACATTTGAGCTCTTTCCGAAATATACAGATATTCTCCCATATAGTATATGTGCTTCATTTTATAAAAAAACAGGGTAGATAATGTTGTGTCCCTCATAAACATGTGTTGTGCTTTTGAATTGCTATGAAAACTTTAATGAAACAAAGGGGTTTTTGGTTCCTGTGGTTTTTTAATAACCTAAGACTTACTGCATTTTGAGTCTCAGAAGTCAAAACCATCATTTTGAATTATACTTCATGGAATATATGAGTGTGCTGTATTCAGTTAGAGCGGCACCACAAGCAAATAGTGTTCAGTAGTCTAAAGTAGTAGAGGGGATAATCTTCTGATTGCCTGTAGTGTAATGTCATGTATCTGAAAAAAGTACTGTAACTACTATATGACCTTCTTTAAGTGGCATGGGCTTCAACAAAACCTTTGGAACCTGGAAATGCTTTTACTCTGTCCTATGGTTGCTTCTTCCAATCTATAAATTTAGTTTTAACATTGATCTGTACCAGATCATCTCTGGTAATCTCTTAGGAATCTGATGGCCTCTGAGGCTATGCCTGCTTTAGAAAATCAGAAAGAGGTGTCCAGGAGTCTTCCTGGGGGCTGGACTGCTATCGTCTGTACTAACAAACTATTAGAATGTCCTCTGGCATGACTTTAGCATGTACCATCTAGATTCCTTTCAGACAATTCCCCAGCATGGTATTGAAGCTGGAAAGTCACAGGGACCAGTTTGTATCCAGCTGTCACACTGTAGAGGCTAAGAGTCTTCACTGGACTAAATAAGGTCTCTTTCATACCAGCTGTCTTCAATGCCTAGAGTTTTCACAGGTCCATTTGATTTAATAATAGAGATATAGCCTTTGACATGCTTGGAATATCTGTTTTCTAAGCTTTTCTATTGCAAGTATAATTAGGTTTCTGTAAATGTGCAATGTACTATCTATAAATCTGATTTTCTGTTCTTATTGCTTAAAATAGTATTGCTTGCCTAAGCACAGTCATCAGATAAGTTTGGTAGGAGCATCCCATTCTAAACATTGTCACTACTCTTGGCAAATAAAGGATAAAATTTCCAAAAGGTAGTATTTTATCTCTTATATTACTTTGATCTGTTCATGTGTATCCTTTGGATTCTGTGTGTACTCCTAAACTGATAGACAAATTAGAACAGAGAAGCTAATCTATAACAAATCTTATATTGTGGGAAACTTTTAATGTCAGGAATTTTCCGGAAGTACTGAATGCTGTGCTGTTTTTGACATGGACAGGAACAGTTGGGGTTATACAGAGTACTTTTAAAATTTCCCCTGCCTGTTTTTACAAGAAGCTAAATCAAATAAAATTGATTTGAATCATTGAGTATTTCTACCCAGGGTTATATCCAAAATTATTTTTCAGCCCCCATCATTTGAATGTTGTTTGATTTAGTCCCTGTTTATTACCAGCTGTCTTCTGAAGGTTCTAAGTATCTTCTGATAACTTGGGATAAATAGGTCATCTGATCTATTAAAGTTTCAATAAGCAGGCATACATCCATCCATATGGATTTTTTACAGGTAGTTTTGGAATTGTCTATAGTATTTGCAATAACTTCTGAAAAATTTGCCCACATTTTGGGTGGTCAGCACTTTTTAAGACAGAATTTCCTTGGCTACATAAATAATAAGTTTATGCTCTTCCTTCTGAAGTGGGAATAATAAATAGAGTATAGCGGCAGAGAAAGGGAAATATTCTTACGTAAGCAATAGTTTTTGAACCATACATTAATGCTTTCTTTAACAAGATTTGACAGAGTGAAGATGGAAATTAAGGTTGGAGGGAGTATTTTTCACAACTCTGAACTGGCTTTGTGTGAACATTTGATATTGAGAATTACTTTGCCTTGAGCTTAGAGTGTTTCATGAGCCATGTCTAATGTGTAGCATGAGCCTGGATAATGCTAATGTGAGCTACAGGCAGCTTTTATTATGCCACAATTTTTAGCTGGAAGAGAAAATAACACTTCATGTACCATCATGAATTACTTTTAGATAAATAGTTCTTCTGGATTGACTTTGCTACATAGACAATGCCATATTATATGTTTTAAAGGTGTGAGCTAAAACCTAACAGTATGTCCTTTAATCGTGACCTGTGCAAATTTTGATTCCTGGAAAACTGTCAGAGGCCAGTGGAGGTTTCCTCAGTGAGGACCTCAAAATGTTTTCTGAAAGGAAAATATAAAAAAAGGCATATAGGGTATATGTAGACCCCAGAAAGCTATTAATGAAGACTTAATTAAGAATGCCCAGTTTCTGATTTTATCCTACTCTTAGTGGTCTTCATGTTTCTTTAGCTCAGACAAGATAGTGACTTGTCATTAATCAGCTTGGCTGTGGTTACTCACTATTTCTATCCTCTGCTAGATAGCAAAGAAAAAAGTAAAGCTTGTTAGCTGACTTGTCTTTCAGTGAGAGCTAGGAAGGGCTGTATCTGTTTGTAATGTGACAATCTGCTATCACGTCCTGTTGGAAGACTATTGGAATTGTAGGCACTGTTTTGGGGATAAATGCAGAATGAAATGCTTGAAGCTATTTCTTTCCATCTCAACATTTTACCCAAGGTGGTATAGCTTTCTAGGGACACATTTATGCTTTCTCCATTTTGCAGCTGCCAGCAAGGGGGTGGGACATTGGACAGTACAGCTAGGAAATATATCCTATGTCTGCTAAATAGTCAGCCAATGAAGAACTTGCCCCTGAGGCAGCTACTAGCACATGAGGAAATGTAGAGATCAAAGGCAATCCATAGAGGTCTGGTTGCCATACATGCAAATCAAGTGGTAAAGGTCACATTTGTCAATCGTTGCCTGACCATATCAGTGTTGGGGGTTTTCCCATTGGGATAGGGGACTGTTTCTCTGGATGTTGTATGAAGGAGGGTCCTGTAGCAGGAGCGTTGAAATGCCTTTCATTTAAGAGTAAAGATGTATAGGCTTGTATACATTTGTGCCCATATGAAATTTCCAAGAGAATATGAAAAGCAAGCAGAAATATCTGCTTTGTCTTTCCTCAATGCCTTTTGAAGGCTCAGGACTGGACATGCTGACAGTAATTCCGTCAGGTTGGGATGTGGTCCTGTTTCAT